TTAACAAAATTTGCTTATTAACCTGTGTCTCAGACACTAACAGGGGCGGCACAAAATTTTCCACAGTCTCAGCAGCCCAGGAGATAGCACCTCCCCGATAAGGTTTGTGAAGGGTTAGATTAGGCTAACGCGCACAAATTACCCCTGTATCGTGGAAAAAACATCCCTCTCCCGATATGATACCTTGTGCACTGTACTGTACCGTACGAGCACATTACCGTACTTGTACCATAGCTCGATTGTTTGGCTTTCCTTTTTTCTTCCTCTAACTACCGGTCCTGCAGAGTACGGTACGAGTAAAGTATCGGTACCTGGGTACTCCTCAGACGGCGCCATTCCGCGCAACTTGCGGGATAAAGTTACAAGCAGACCAGTTAATCAATTCTGTCAACAGCAGTGATCCTGGTGCATGACGGTGAAAAAAAATGAAAAATGAAAAATGAGGAGGAAAAAATCTCATTTGGAGGGATTTCCAGTACGTAATGGGGTACAGTACCGGTATGTAACCCGCTTTGTCGTCTACAACATTTGGGCATAATAAGAGTATTATATTATGCCCTCGCAGTCCACTGTAAAAAAAATCCCCCTGAATCCCACCACCTCCTGATCCGGGGGTCAGCGAAGCCTACAGGACATTCTTTCCCCCCCCCCTCGTCACGTCTCGTTGATTGGTACTGTGCTATGATAGGACGGTACTGCATTCACGATTCCGTTGGCTTTTCGGATTGGGCGCACTGCAGTCTGCCGTGTCCGGCCTGGCAGATGATCTAGTATCGGTACCATAGTGGGGAATTTCGAGAGATTTTGTGGTTCTGCGCGTACGGTACTATACGGGTACGCGCGCTAATGTTACCGTTCCGTGCTGAGCCCGGGGTGGAGGAGGGAGGGCGGCCGGGAGGGGGTGAAATGGTATCATGTCATTCTGTACAAGTACAAGTACGTTCGGCCTTATGCTTGGTGCGGGCGGGCGCTTGATTTTTCTTCCTTCTCTCCAGCGTGCGTTGTATGTGTGTATATGCTTGACTTACCGGTACGGTATTCGCACTTCGATGCTTGGCTCTGACAAAAGCTGGATATCTACGCCTCTTTAGGAAGGTCCGTATGCATGCAGAATTTTGAGTTGGATTGTTTATAACAGTGCCAAGGTTATAAAGTAGGGGCACAGTACGAGTACAGTACTGTACTGTACGAGTACTGTGCGTGGGGGGTGGGAGAGCTCATTCCGTCACGGTGTAACTGTGTAAGTCCCCATCAGGGCCCTTCTTGTCTGTAAGATACATGTGTGCATCCTCCCCCGCAGTCTACCGCGCTTCCTTCCCATTGCCAACACTCCCGATAATCACACGCAGTTCAATCACACGCAGTTCCATGATAACCACACTCTAAAAAAGCTCCCAAGTATGCGTCTCGAATTTCCCTACTACACCCGTCACACACGAAAAAAAAAAAACCATTTTTCGATTACTCGAGTAGTAGCGGCGCATGGCGTGTAGTACAGTACAGTACCGGTATTCACGAAGGCGCGGTCACTCATACCAAGGTCCGAACCGAACCGAACCTATGTCCCGGTACATGTACTCGTACAGAACAGTTACCAGTACCATAGTTGACGCCATGAGAACGCACTCATAACACGCAGATATTTATCAACGCCCAACTCCTAAATTTTACTTTGTTGTTACCACCCCTATATTGCCGATGCTATGATATGATATGATATGATATGTCGGCGGTCGGTTCTAACGCCCCACCCTCCACCCGATTTATCCGAATGCCTTGCCTTGCCTTGCCGGCTATCTCTAGCGCATCCGATTGGGAATGTTGTGTGTGCGAGGAGGGTAATGATGAGCTGCTGACATGCAGTGTCGATGGTCTAATCCCCATTTCAATTCGTGTTCTGTCCTGTCCAGAGTGTTGCGGGATGATGTCGTACTCGTACGAGCACAAGTGCGGTAGTTCATGCGGGGTGTTGATAAATTGTAATGGTTAGCGTGGTATTAAGCCTCAGCTTTAAGGTTGCGGTGTTCATTCGTACTGGTTCGGCTATGATACTTGGGCTATGGGTACAGCACTCGTACAATAAATTACGAAGCAGGAAACTCGGGAGGAGGGGGGCAAAAGTGCTTATATATCCACTCTTTTTTGGTATGATGCCGTACGATACTGTAACGAAATTATTTGTTTGTTTTGTTTTTCTTCTTTTTTTGTTCGGTGGTAAAGTGCAGTTATCACAGTACGGTACGAGTACTAATAGAATGTGGTACTGCATTGCGACGTCGCACGTCCGCTGCGGCTTTCTCACACTCTATCTCCGGACGGGCCGTTCACCCCCACCTCCCCTTCTCCACAACTCAAATAAATAAACAGGGGGGATCAACATACCGGTCGAGCCGTCAGTGGTATCTCACGCCGCCGTGTGGCGTAGAAACTACCGGAATGAATATCTTGAGTCTGCAAGACACATACTGTACCGTTCTGTTCCCCCACTTTTGTTATAATAGTGTCCAGCCCCCACGGTAACGCTCCGTGCCGCTACGGTACAGTACATTACTTATACTCCATGTTTTCCCACACTCCCGTACCGGTATGGTAACGTTGGCCAAATTTTTTTAGGGGGGGGGCTATGGGCGTATGCCACGATGTACAAGTACTGGACGAGTAACTTCCACACATAAGATAAACCACTTTTCCCAGTGCGCCGATAGTAATTTTAGGTACATATAATGCAATACATGAACCCAATTCCACCAATTCGATAACGGTCTCGCAGAAGGCGTCGCACCTTACTCAGACTACTAAGTTAGTACTCATACTGCACCTTACTCCGCCATCTCCGCGCTCGGGGATGATACACTTCTTCCCTAGAAAGGATTACTTGTATATATAGTCTTCCTCGCATAGTCGGATTACTAGTACGAGTACAGTGCACCAAGGCCCGAGCAGAGAGTGCGAGTTGGATAATAATACCTGTAATCCCCCCGCCCCAACCAACCGGTTCGCAATCCCTCCGCGCAGATTGGTCAAACAATGTACTTGTATGCCTGATAATATAGCCTGCGGTCCGTGCCGCAATTCTTGTGGATTTGATTCGCCATTACTGTTCTACCGTCGTGATACGTGCATTCGCGAAGGAAATGGAGGGCATGGATATGTGATGATCTGGAATGGGGATTAGTAAACCCCCCCTTTTCGCCTTCGACCCCACGCGAAAGATATATATAAAATTGGGAAAGATGGTATGGGCGGGATTCCTGAATAGTAGTGTACCTACTATACCTACTATACCTACTATACCTATAGAGTACAGTACAGTACAGTACACGTACTTGCACTTTAAAGTTACTTGTACCATAACCGGTAGATATGGTGCGGTACGGTACCCCAAGCACAGTCCAGTACTGTACTACTATGGTACTCGGAATGTCACTCGCGCCACAACAAACAGTCATAATTTACAGGTAATTTATAATCCAATACGAACCGGATACCGATCCTCCGAGACTGCACAAATCGTGCTTGTGTAAAGTACGAGTACAGTCTGATTGGGTTCTAGCACTCACGCTCACGCTCACGGTCCCCCCCCTCCCCTCCACGCACATCTGCCATGAAAGTGTTGCTTGTGCAGTACGAAACCGGTATCCCCAGCGGTCGCTCTTGACTACCGGTACCCTACCGTACCTTTTTTTGTCCACGACTAATCCGATCGTGCGGCTGCCCAGTGCGGAGTGTGGTATAGTATACTGTGGTACGCGCACTAGCCGCCTTGCCGTGTATGATATAGCACTGGTCTCGGTTTCGTAAGATGGCGCTTGTCATTACGTTCCGGGCGCCGATATCATGGGTTGTGACATTCTATCGTGTTGGAGAATGTTAAATTACGAAGTGTCTGTTTGTGGCGCAATGGCGGTAATCTCGGATACGGTGGGTCTTGTATCGTGTGGTATTGAACGAACGAGTGTTCGATATCATGCATGGCGATTAATCTCGCCTATATACAGTACTGTAGATTAGGGGGAGGGTTTTTTTTTATCGTTACAAAACTAGATATTTCATATTTGCTCTCGGTATCCTTCAGAAACTGCTCGTCTGCACCCTCCTCATCTCCTTCTTTCACTATGTCGTGCCCGCGCTACTAATTCCCGACCCCTTCCCGTTACGTATCTGCTGGGGGCGTGGTAGAAAAGTTCCTGATTCGCCATTGTTTCCCCACGTCCCACCGATGCATATTTCCGGTTCGAGAAATATCTGGCCCGCGTATTCCCAACGTAAGCATTCGTAGTTGCTGTAGTTCTTTAGGAAGTTTATGTGCCTATCATCCAGCACTACGCCTTCGATAACCCAGGTCCCTACGACGTCCGCTCCCCGGCAGGATATCCTTATGCGTTGGTCTACTTCCGAGATTGGTGCTATCTTAAAGTTGAAGTATATGATTTCTGAGTTTGAGGCTGCGGTTGGGTTTATAGAGACGCTGTCAGAGTGTGTTGGGATGAGGGAGTCATGGTAAAAGTAGCGCCCTTCCCATGGCCTACCGAACAGCTGTTTGAGTTCTGATTCTTGGAAAAGCTTTGCTGGTGGTTCAAGAGTACCGGCCATGGTTGAGCCCGCTCCGCGGTCCAGTAGCAATGCCCTCATAGTCTGGTTTTCCCTCTCGTTAGCCGCGTCCAAGGCTGTACCTAAATACAGTCTCCGTGCATTAACGTCGGCTCCAGAATTCAGGAGGATCTCTGCAATTGTCTGGTTGGAATAAAATGCTGTAGCACGCAATGCCGTGCTGTAACACCCGGCCTGAAGATTGGCATCTGCGCCTTCTTTCAATAGCCTCCTTACTACAAGTATGCGCGTATGCCCTCCTGCTGCTGCCGCCCATAGGGCTGTTCCATAGCCTCCGGAAACTCGGCCCGCACTTGCTCCTGCCTTGATGAGTTTGGAAACAATTCTTTCGTGTCCTCTCGTGCTTGTTACTAAGAGTGGGTGTCCGAGATTCTCACAAATTGTGCCCGCAGTGGTTTCCGTCTCCCCGGAGTCTGTCCTAAAAGAGCCTTCCCCCCCTCCCCCTCCCTTCCATCGGCGCTCCGGGGAGCCCCATATCCTTCTGTCTCTAAACCTACTTTTCCCTCCACAAGCAGCTCCACAGCCCATTCTTGGCCGATGTAAACAGCGGCTTGAAGTGATGTTCCGTGAGCTCCACCTACGGCGTTAACATGGGCACAATTGGACGAGAGCATCTCAACTATTTCGCGATTTCTGGAGAGAACCGCTGCCTGCAAAGGTGTTTCTAGGCCGCCAAAGGGGTGATTAATGTCTGGTGCATGCTCTATCAAACACCTGACCAGCACCACGTGACCGCCACTAATGACAACTATTCGAGGTGACCCAAATTCCGTATCAATGGCATTGATGTCATGCCCTTTCTCGAGTAGATCCGAAACCAGCTCATTCAAACCGAACATGCAAGCGTATACTAACCGCTTGGGAATATCTGCTTCTTTAGGATTGCTAAAGCTCTTAAGGGATGCGTACTTCTGCGCCCAACATGAGAAGTACCCTTGGTCGTCGTCGTCGCCGTCGCCAAGAAATTTGGTCAGCATGTTCACTGGTCTGCCCTCTACTGTGGTTCGCATTGCATAGCTGGCCTAGTAGAGGGTTGCCCGCCCAAAAAGCGGTGACTCATTAGAAGGCTTGTGCAGTCTTCCGGAGGCACAGGGACCGTCGTTGAATGAATCAAAACATAGTACGGTCAAGTGCAGCATTGCGGCTAGGGCATTTGCCTTTTGCAGGTCGACACAAAAGGCACTTCCTGCTGATTTCGCGTCCCGACACGTTGCCGATTGTAAATATACTTGTACCGAGTAGTGGTATCTCGAATAATGTTCCGCCCGGATCTTGCCGAACGAGTCCGTTGCAGATATCCAGGAGGGTTCCTAAGGGACACATACGAGAGGGCTCTAATTCGGCATCTCCCTCCTCGACAGACAAAGCCTCGAGCAAAAGCTCCTTTTGAACTTAGAAACTGATAACGGCAAGCAGATGGGATGTTTTAATCGCAATCTTCCGGTTTTATTCTCCATGTCGTATATATTCTGGAGGATGCGATCATATGTGGCATCAAGATCGGGTGGCAATTCGTCAAGAGCGGCGTGTTTTGCGGATGGGGGAGGACATGGTGCAGGGAGCGTCAGCCATGGCAAAAGTTATTCTGGCACAGGTATGGCTATACCGATGAAGTCAAAGTTACGGTTGACTTGGGAGTGGAACACTGGCAAAAAGTACGCTGACTACCTGGTTGGGAAACTGCCATGGACCTGAGATCCCTACAGCATACTTTTATTGGAGAAAGGTTTGGCATGTGGTTCTGGGCTGCTGTCTTATATGGCAGACATACTACACCACTACTGGCGGTCTGCCAGCAGATGGAGGAAGAGTGAAAGAGTGATAATAACAGGTTTGGTATAGACTCTCAGCAGTATGTTGATGAAATCTTAATCCCCTGCCTTTGTATATTTAGATGAACGGCAAATGAACAGGGATCTGTTGCAACGGACCAATCGAAATAAGTGAGTGACAGGCTGTGAAATGAAAACACCAAGCTCACTTGAAAGAATCGTACGGTTTGCAGCAAATGGGGGGCTATTTGCCTCTCTTCTCTCTCTCTCTCACTCACATACTATTACCCTAACTATAGTATGTATTTGTTTCTAACTAACATCTACTGGCAGAAAAGACAGAAGTATAAATGTCAATAGTAATATGGCCTGAACCACAGACCGCTAACCAAGTCCTCCAGCCCCCTCCCTCATAGGTAAGTCTCCCATCTTACTAGCAAGCAAGTGTGCTAACAAAATGAGGGACAAACTCGCGCTTCCCCTCCCCTCCCAGTAAGCTCCCATTATATTGAGCAACCCAGAAAAGCTAACAGGGGAAAGACAAATGGACAAAATTCATACTCTCCTTATCTTGGCGCCTTCCTTCTATATGATCTGCCTGTACCTTTCTTCTATGCACTCCCCTGGTGCCTTCCTTCCATGCACTCCGCCGGCACCTTCCTTCCATGGGTTGTGCCATGTGCTTTCCTTCCCGCTGTACTGATAAAGTGCTTCCCTGAAAGCCAAACAAACAATTGACACAAACCAATAAGGAAACTATGGGGGAATGGGGGAATGAGAGGAGAAGGAGGGGAGGGGGAAAGCGTGTGTATCAATCAGCCTCTTGCTATTTCCAACATGTATGAGAAATGTGGAGGTGTACAGGATGGTATACTGACTGTGGTGAATGGGGTCAGCTATCATTGCTCTGCTTATACTAAGAGGAAAAGGTTGGAGCATGGGGTGGTCCGGATGGGGCTCCCTTCCCACTTGCCGGACCTCAACCCAATTGAAAATGTGTGGTTTCTATTTAAGTGTATGTGCAGGAAAGAGTTCTGGTGGAGGCAAAGAATACCTAGTGACAGGGAGTTGATTGCATTAGCACAGGAGGTGTGAGAGGGACTACCATGGCCAAAGTTCTACAAGTTGATTGATAGCATGCCAGACCTCATTGCATCCTGCCTGCACCACCATGGAGGACCAACACACTGGTGAATGTACTCTAGCATAGCATCTGTTCTATAACATACATGAACAATTACTTCTGGGGTGCTGTTGTTGTAGCAAACTTAGTGACTATCGCAGTGTAGTC